CAGCAACAAAGGCACGCGCGGTGCGGCTCGGCGCGACTTTCTCACTTGGGTATCTGGCGACGGAAGAAGCCAGACAGGTTGAACGTCCCGTCCTCGCGTACCCAGAGGTTGCCCTTGAGGGGGAGCGAGATCCCAACCATCCCCGGGAATATCCTCTCGTTGCGGAGGATCAGCAAACCAGTCTGACGAAGAAAACAAAAAAAAAAGAAAACGATAAGCCAAGATATGCTTTCACTCACCGTCAAGACTTCAACGCATCCCCTTGGACTGCTGTGTGGCTATACCTCGGACGGGTGTAACTATGTCGTGGTTACATATATTTTCATAAAAAGAAGAAGCACCCATCCGTGAACCGTTCATGCGTGCGGCATGCATGCGGCACACACACACGCGCGCGCGCGCGCGAAGCGGGTCCTATTCTCGAGGACCACGCAAAGATAGCTACTTTCAATTTTGGTTTTATGTCGAACGGGTATGTGTGTTTCTGTGAGTGTTACGCATAGTTGCTGAAATGGCAAGGCTTGCGGCTCAAGGTTCTCGAGGGGGGATCCTGGTATGTCAAGAGAGGGCGGGCGGGTTGAAGACAACAGGAAAACAACTCGGCAAAGCAATCCAACAAAAAATTCCAACGGTCCACCCGTGGTAATCACCACGACGCACTTGCTGGAGCGATTCGTCGTCCCAAGTGCCAGCATCAACGAGGTGGGTCATTGTATCATGTTAACAACCAACCCTAATCGTGCATGTGCGTACAGCATCCATCTACCGCTGCACCTCTCTACAACGGTGGTAAAACATCGACCAGCATATTTACATGTATATAGAACGGCAAGCAAAGACATTTAAAGACCTGCTGTTGTTCAAGAGAGGTGGTATCTTCAGTATATCTAACCGTACCGCAAACGTACCGCGGAAGCACGGGACGGGTGGGCCTCGAGCACACAAGGATGGCGCACGGAACGGTTCGTACCCCCCCCTCCCTCTCTCTTTCATACGTGCAATAGCATTCGACCGTGCTAAATGGTGCTAACCGATTGGCCAATGAGAGGAAGTCTGATTCTACACTACAAACTTGCGTGATCAAAGGTTTAGATAAGACTCGATGTCCCCATAAATGAATCGCAAATTGATACTCCAATCAATGACACAGAGGCATGTGCTTCTTCTCCAGCGCGCCTTTGTCCTTCGTTCCACCATTCCATACCACACTGCTGGCGAACAGCTCTCTCACTGAAGGTAAACCATTTTCGCTGCAAATTTATGCAAGCAAGGCTTCACCCGCGACTATAATTGAAGGTTGAACGACTCTCCATCCGCCCATGCTGGCACGACAAGCGAAAGGCTTGCGGTGGCGGCTACGGCCGGCGAATGTATGTGTATGGTGTGCACAAGCGGAGAGTTGGTCGGCAGCAGCAGAGTCAGGGGGCTCCGCCGTTAAATATTACTTTATTTGGTTGTCAACCGCCGCTAACTGAGGACGCCAGAGCACGAAATTCACCGCCATCCTTCAATCAATAGCGGTAGATTGGCGTTCAATCAGATTGAAGCGGCGACAGAGAAGCGATTTTGGTACAAATGTATCGGCATTTCCGCTCAGGGTACAGCTTGTGATCAGAGAGCACCTATTCAGGATCTGCAGCCGCACATTCTTAGTTTTGCATTCAAATGGTACGATGCGCAATAGAACGCCGCCAGACACGTGCGAGAATAACTATGTGTCTCATGTTTGCTGCTATATTCTTTGCATTGTATGTACGAGTAGCAAATAGTCTATATATAGACTCTTGTGCTTCGTTCTTTGCCTCGCAGGGTTCGGCCGGCGACCAACGGGGTCGAAGTATTGATAACCCAGCCTTGTATTGTAGTACTTGCTGTTAAGTATCATCCCTCGACCACGAGGGAGAGCAATCGCAGCGTGTCTGCTCCTTCAGCACTTTCAGCACGTTCCGCCCCCTCTGTACACGCTGTCAATATGCTCCTGGTGCTGCTGCCGCTGCTGCAAAATTCGAGCGAGGCGAGATTTCTAATCTCGCCTGAAATATAGCGCTCCAGTCTGGAAAAAAGAGTTTGCACGTGTGTCTGTTCGCTTTAACTTGATTTTAGAATAGATGACTTAATTTTAGACGACAGGGGTCAGCAGATGCACTTTATTTTCCGACCACACTGTCAGCGGATTACAGCTGAAGAATACACGCACTGCGGGACTGCGGGCGACACTACTGAGCAGAAAACACACGCACAGCAAACAGCGTACGCATAACAGGCGACACACACGAACAGCGGGCGACAGCATCTGGGCTCGATGCCGCTAGACTCTCTGTGGCGTGATGAGGCTATGTATTGCTCTGTCGCGCATGTTTTTTTTTAACGCCGCCTGCAACTGCCAGCAATGTGAGCACAGCACCACAAAGTTCTCGAACATAGGACGCCGATCGCCATCGCACCACTTCGAGAGTGTGCTCCATTGTGATGTCTCTGGGCGTGATAGTTGTGTCAGGCATGGGTGCTGTATGTGGCGAGAGCATCGTGGCGATGTGAAATCCGGTTTGGCTTTTTCGCCTGGCGATGCGGCCCGATTGCCCGGGCCAAAATAAAATGATTTGGATTCCACGCCGCCACGAACATCTTCCCACACACAGAACCCATGCCTGACACAACCGGTCGCCCCGGTGGTCTAGTGGGTAACCTCGCAGCCTGCTAAGGGCCAGGTCATGGGTTCGAGTCCCGGCAGAGAGAGTTTTTTTCTCACTAAATAAATCCTGGTCTAGGATGAAAGCGACGCGCTGCAAAGCTCGTTTGTTAGTAAACCATAATCGACTTCGTAAGTCGCGAGGGAAGGGATTGCTGTACCCTTCTCGCGATAAAAATACCTCAGGCAGGAACCGCAGGACGGGGTCCGACCCCCCCCCTCCCATGTGACCCCGGTTGGGTCGTCTAGCTGGTAGAAGTGGAGGATAGGGGCCAGAGGGGCAGACGACAGAGTCCGACGATGAAAAAAATATATATATAGTCACGCCCCGATATATCGCAATGGAGGACACGCTCGAAGTGGTGCCATGACGTTTTTCGCTGGCAGCTGGAAAAACACCGAACAAATTAAGAGGGAGCAGGGGGTTTAGCACTAGTATGAGCGGGGTATGTATGAACACGAAAGCGGGATGTGGACGGGGGGGGGGTTAACCGGTAGGTGTAGATTCAGGTGTGTGGTGTTTGCACTCTGTTTCCGCCCGTGGACGCACACATGACGACAGTTACGCCTCTCATATCAGCTGTCGCTCGTTGTAGCGACAGCTAGTATCTTAAATAAAGCGGAGATATCATGACCACAGCTGCGGCGTATATAATCCGTGTGTGACGTGGGGCACGTGGCACGCTCGTGCGAACAAATGATTACAAGCTCTTTGACGAATCTTCGATAGGCCTGTCCTCCATCGGCCGTTTTATTTTCGATTTAGATACACAAACTTTATTTCTATACTAATTTCAAGTAATTCCACCTTCTTATTCTCCGTCATACAAGCAAAACGGCCGATGGAGGACAGGCCTAATCTTCGACCAAGATTTGGTGACGGAGACCGTATCCCGAGATATCGTCATCGTCTCTCGCGCGCGCATACTGAATACCGAGTACTGAAGAACCATAGCTCTAGCAATAGGCAGCATTTGAGAGAGGCTAGTATGTGGTTTTGGTAGGCGCAGCGGTTGTGCAGAAGCTTGTGGGATGACACACACTTGTTTGCGGTGCAGCCGAGGTGTTCCGTGGGCGGGGTGCACGGAGAGAGCGATCGGTTGCAGTTCTCGAGCAACCCGCCGCTTTGCTCTTCGGGTATGTTGAGTACACACACAATGCTGCCGCTGCATACCGTGTGCCACCATAATCTCGACAGCACATTCGACACGCGTAACGCCCCTGATTCGCACATCCTACGCAGGAGAAAACTACCTGTCGCTGCTGCTACAACACACAGCAGTAGATTGCATAGCACGCTCTGGTACGCTGATGACACAGGATGACAGATTCATGTCCTCGTTGCTGCTGCGCAGATGGCCGGCGGGAACATTTCTTGCTCTCGGGGCATTTTGGTCCTCATTCCTCTCACCCCATCCAGAGAGAACGTCCAGGCCGCAGCAGACTCAACTACGTTCGCAACGAAAAGCGCCGCGCGAAAGCCAACACATCGCCCACCTCAACAGCACCATCGGGTAGGGGTAGATCGGCCACCGGGAACGCCTCCACGCCCGACGCGTCCAAGCTGTCCGAGTTGACCGAGCTTTGAGATACCTGAACCGCCCTCGACTCCTCCAACATCTCGGCGGCAATCGCTGCGCAGGCCTGCGCTGCTTCACCCTGGCACGCTTGCGCCGTGAAACCTTGGCCGACTTCGCGCAGGGGGTACTTGTCCTCGGGGAAGGTCTCGACCAGGGGGGGCAGCATCAGAGACGATGGCATGTTGAGGTAGATTGAAGGTGAAGTTGGAAGGGGGAGTGAAACTTGCCGGGCAAGCTGATGAGTCAAATCAACACTCTTTCTCTTGATCAGGGAAGTGCTCGCGTCGCGTTCTGTGGTGGGGCGGTCTCTTGTCGCGATCTCTGTCGGTCGTTCTCTCTCCCCTGCCTGCGTCTACAATACATGCAATCGCAACTCTGTCTGCGCTGTGCCCTGCTGCATGCCGATAGGCTGTTTGCTCCTCCTCTCATTTTTGATTGACGGAGCCCCCACCCCGCCAAACAGCAATCCACCGTCCCCCCCGAACCGTTGCACAAGCCTACAGAGACAGCAGAGCGATTACACACAACCTGCTAGACTGAGCGAGAGAGAGAGCGAGCGAGTCATGTTGTGGTCAAGACCGAGCGCAGCAGTGGTATCCGTCCTTGTGGCGGTGAAGGTCTCATGCTTCTCTAGCGGTGGGTGTCGTTCGTGTGGTCTACACGGCAAGGTAGCCTGTAATGTCTGTCACACGTGTTGCACGGCGAGGTAACAGCGCAGACATGATCCACGAGTTACAGCAGTAGGGCCGGCGTGCCCAGTGCTGCTGATGTGAAACTTCCGTGTGACGTTCGACCGCGTCTAGGACAGAGAAGAAAACGAGTGTGACCTACACCGAGTGACAGCACGGAAGCAGTAGTCATATTATCAGGTGGCCTTGTGTCAGCATCTGCAACATGAGCCCGTTGTAGCCTGTAGGCCCCACCTCGTCCCAGCTGTACACGTACGCGGGTGCTCCTATGCTGCAGCTCGGCACCGAACAACCCCATGTTGGCATAAAGGCGTTCATTGTTTAGAACATGACCGTGGCACTGGATGTAAGTTTTTAGATCTCTCCTTTGGATGAGGAAAGAGACTGAGCGCGAGGTCTTCACCCTCGTAGTACTCTTCCAGCCCAAGTGGGGACGCTTTGTGCGGACACACTACAGCAGTACTCAAATGGCTAGTTTCACCGCACCGTAGGCACCCTATGCTCCGCTGTGTGCAACGCACATGAGAACTCTTGGTCTATGATGCTTGGATGAGGTGGTGCGCTGTGTAATATGGGTAGTTGCTGTACATCGCCTGGTACTGGAAACATTTGCTGACTTGACTTCAGTCAAGAATAGTGTACGTGTTTTGGAGACAATTTTGATATTTATACTGCTGTAAAGACATGTCACCCTGTCTGGCAAGGAGCTCAGTGCATAGACTGTAGCCCCTCGACCAATGGCTGGCAATTATTTTGCGACATTTGTTTGTTTGCGGAGGGACTGGGTACTAGGAGGCTTAAACGTTATAACTGCTTGTCCCACAGCGGTTGCATCCTGGCAGATATACCGCATATTTGCCGCCACCTCTTCCTCTGAAGTGCCCGTAGCCATATATCAGTGTCACTCCTGAAGTTTTCGTCCACACGAACAGCTCTTGGATACCCCCCCTCTCCCCCCCTCCCTTCTTGTCTCCCTTTTCCTAACCGCTATGCTCACGCCTTTCCCAGCCTTCGTAGCCCCACCCTCGTCTTCCGGTTCTGCATTAACGGCGTTGCGCACGGCTGCGCCTGCAACTACGCTGACGAGTCGATCACGCCGAGCGGCTGATGGCTACGGCATGGCGAAGGGCGCCCGCCACGCGTGGAGTGCTCTAGGAGGTGTTTCAGACGGAGGTGCAGCGACGAGCGCTGGAGAGGAGGAGCGAACAGGAATTGCCGCGGAACCGAAGCTGCAGCCTGCAGTCGGTGAAGAAATGCTGAAATGGAATGATAGGCTAAATATCGTGGGGTATGTGTTCGTGAAGAGAGGCCGGGGTGGAAGGCGGAAGAGCTCCTCCTGAGATCGAAAGAGAGAGGGGGCATGATAGAGGGGGCAGAGAGAAGACACCTAGCTACGTGACGTGCGTACCATGCGGAGGAACTGGCAGGATGAATGTGTACGTTTTTATTGCAAAACATACAACACGGGGCTATTGGAGACATCCAGACATGCAGCATGGTACACACACCGATTTGGACGGGGCAGATACAACGTTACACCAGCGAGTTGCTGATATTTCCCTAGCTAACCCGTTTACCTCATGCCATCTTCGCTACCGCAACTCCGCAGCGTCTACGGTCAGCGGCCTAGCGACCGGAGCCACGGTCGTCGCGCTGGCCGCGCTTGGTGGGTTTCCCGGCCTTGCCGCGGCGGAGGCGCCGGCGTGGGTAGGGCCCACGAAGCTTGTTTTGGACCCCACCCTGTTGTTCTTCGAGTTCGCGTTCGTAGCTCGCATCGTTTTGTCCTGGTACCCTAAGGTGAGGGGGGGGGGACAGTCGTGTTGAGTTTTTGCGTGACAGCTGCAACACTTGCGCGGTGGGTTTTCGCAAGCAAATGCCACGAGTGCATGCCTGCAAAAGACGGTTGTTATGAAACATGGTGCGCGTTAATTGCACAGGAAGCATGTAGGGCTTAGCGACATGTGTTCAAAGTATTCGGTCGAGACGTGAATTACACGTTAACGGTGTGTGAAGGAAATCGAATTCACGCGACTGGAGCACCAGTGTGCGGACGCGGGTGTTTGTTGCTTTTTCATTTAGTCCGCGCTGGTCGCGCATACAGAAGAGGCGCGTTGAAGGACGCCTGTCTCTAACAGGACACAAGAACGGCAACGCGCGCTTGGTGGCTGTGTTTGTACATGCAGGGTTGTGCGGTATGCCTGCACAACTGAAGAATTACTACTGCTGTGCACCTGACTACTTTCTTGCCTTGGCCCTCCCCTTTTTTCTTCTTCCGACTGCCCTGCATCTATTTAGCTGGACCTCAACAGCGCACCCCAGAACCTCGTGGCGTGGCCAACGGAGCCCATCCTGAGGCCCACAAGAGCGATCATCCCCCCCGCGTTCGGCGTGGACATAAGCCCCATCGTGTGGGTCATGATCTGCTCGCTCGTGCACGAAATATTGTTGGGGCAGCAAGGTATTCTTAACCTAATGTCCAACAAGTAGAGCAGGTGTTCGGTTGCTTGGGGTTCTCCCACTTTGGATGGAGAGCTTTCCGCTCCCCTGAGATGCATCATTTTAGACATGGGATTGCCGTTCAAGATAAAGAAGGATAAAGTATAGGGGGAGGGGGCGGAAGGGGGTGCTTGATTTGAGTGGTCCCGTCTCTGAGCCTACGATACAAGCTCGTGAGGATGTCCTCGACAATCTTCGCCTGTTTGCAAACATTTTGTCAATGAATACAACTTCACCCGACTGGGATGTGTGGAGACGACCTCTAGAAAGAGCCACGTTTACCCAACGTTTTTTGGAGTATGATTCCCCATTATCTGTGATCACATTTGGCGCCACAGTGAGGTTTCCGGTTTGGGTGGCAAGCCTGAGTCGATTCAACGTCCCTCGTTCAACGGTTGACGGACGAAGCAAGAAACAGACCTTCGGAACTATTTGCTCCACATGGTAAACCAGTCAAATGACGCCCAGAAGAAGATTGTGGAGAAGTGAATCGCCGAAAGTCGTCGGGATCCCGTTATATCCGTACTGTAGGGGCCTTCTTGCTGTCTATGGTAGCAACTAAGAGATTCGAAGAGGCGGTGCATAGTGTGGAGATGACCTTTAGAAAGGGTCACAGTCTCCGACGCTTGTCGTGGACGACCGTTTCCTGTTTTCACAGGCGCCGAGTGTTTGGCTCAGGACAACACCAAGCTGTGAACGCGGTTGGGCTGCCCACCGTCTAGGTTGTTGTGATGCAGCAGACAGCAGGTGGTCTCTCGATTTTGCTCCTTTGCGGAGCAGTTACATACTTCGTATTTGGCATCGAAGGCTACGTTCTACCCCGAGACAGAGCAGTCCCTTAACGGGCATAGATACGTGGTGTTGTCTCCACAGGGTTTAGTGGCCCCGCACTAGGGCGGGGTGCGTTGACGCCCTTGCTTTCGAAGGCTTCTGATGAAATCAAGCGATTTCCTTGCGCGCGAGGGAAATCGAGACAAGTTTTTGTTCGAAAGGTTGGAATAATTCTAAGTTGAGGCGTATTCCATGTTCATCAATACCTTAGAATCGGACCGACTAGAATAAACAACTTGCTCTAAACACTTGCCCACCGATAGTTACCGAACGCACAGCCCCAGGTTCTCTCCAATGCATACTCTCGACGAACCAACGCGACAGTGCAAACCCGTGGGCTCACCTACTTTGACTCGCCCTGACCGGCTGATCGAATAAAATCAACCTCCCCACACAAAATACGCCCCCCTGGTGAGAAAGTTGACCGCATGCAAGGACCAACTGAGTTACACACGTGGACTCGAAGAGTACAAGCAACACACTTTAATTCTCGGGTGTAGCCCCCAAAACTAACATCGAGGAGAAACCACGACAAAGACAAACATAAAAAAAGACAACCAAAGGCAGCGTGGCCTCGCGTGATGATTTTATGGATACCCTCTTTTACATACCCCGGCCACAGCCTTCGCATACAAAGCCTACATTGGTGTAAAAACGCCAACTGCGTCGTACACACGCCAACCCTGCAAGCAAAGTCCCCACATGATCCAGGTTGCGACACCCCCTCCCCCTGTCTCGGCATAGGATAGTGACAATGGGATTCAGCAAAGCCGTGAACGAATTGAGTGCTTGCAGAGCAAAAAATCAGAAAAAAAACACAAGGAGCACAAAATCACACAAGAACGAGAACAAAATACTACTGCAATTCCAGCACCAATCTGCCGGGGGTACAGCGCTATCGCTGCCGCCGCCGGCTTGCTCGCCGCTACCGCTGGGCAGCCCAGCCACCTGATGACCAAACGCGCCAAACGCCCGGCGACGTAACCGAAACTCGCCTTTGTCCCGCAACTAACCCCCGTTACCCCTGCGTCCAAACCAGCACAAAAACCTGCCGTTCACCTTACCGCCCCCTCACAATACACCCACACCCTCACACGCCATCTACCGTCTCATAATCCTGTCTCAATTTTTTTTTGTGACCGAAGGAAAGAAAAAGGACCCGTTTCGAAAAGAAACGACAAGCATCAGTCCCCTGCTCTAAAAAGGAGAATGCCGTCTTTTTCTTAGCTCTTCGAGTCACCATCACGCAGACGAGGAGCTGTCTGCCGTGCGCGACCCGTTTCTCCCGTACCCCCCCGCCGACGATCCGTTTCCCACTCTGCTGCCCCCCCTCGAGGATTCGCCGCCGTTCGCCGAGGGGGAGGGTGCCTTGGCGCCGTCTTTCTGGAAGGTCCTAGCCACGGAGCCCCAGGGGTCCACGTAGGCCACGGGCTTCGGCCTTCCGTCCTCGCTCTGGTTCCTCCTGCGAAAGACAGTCAGACAGACAAGACAGGCGCACGTTTCGGTTCGCTCATGAGCAAGAAACAAACTGGAAGATGTGACAACACAAAACTGCCCCACTACAACGATCGTGATGTGTGGAGATACACCATAGTGTTGAGATAGTTTTGGGCGTTCTCTCAAGGTGTTGGGGGCGCACAAGGTGTCGAAACATGGGTGTCTACGGGAGGAGACCCGATATGAAAGGTCAGCATGTTCAGTGCCTTGTTCGTGACCAGCCATGGCTTCGGCGCACACATGCGTGGTCGGGATCAAGACATGTGTACACAAGAAAGAAGGTAAACGTCGGGTGCACAAAAAAGCAGAAAAAACGTCCACGTATTACGTCAAGCGGATGGACGTTGCAAACAAGACACTAGTTCAGGGTGCAAACTCCGGCGTGACTACTCATCACCGGTCACGCGACGACAACACATGCGGGGCCCCACCCTGCAGCCCAAGAGTGAACAACAACACAGAGAGAGGAGAGAGAGAGAGAGAGAGAGAGAGGGAGGGAGGGAGTACCATAGCCTCCCCGATGAAGCCCCCTCACGGGGTGATAGATCACGGCCTTAAGAAGCATTCTGTGTTTTCAACCGCAGTGAGAGCTGACGTCTTTTCAGTAGTCAGCCAGTTAGCGCGGTCGATGTTTAGTAAGCAAACATACACACCACAAAGATATTTGTAGACAAGAGACACACCCGTGCCTACCCATAACGTGGGGGCGAGAAAACCGAAACGACAGCAGCAGCAGCAGCCACACACATGCCTCCTTTACTTTACCTCTTGAACTCCTTGCGGTCTCTTCGCTTCATGTGGCAGACGATGCAAGCGACGATCGACAGGAAGAACGACACCACCACCACCAACCCCGCACCTGAAAAAAAAAAAAACAGATCGGACAAAAACCAGGGCGTCACGGCGGGAACAACGGCGACGGGCAATGAATCGAATCATACGCAACCATGGTATGGTAAATCTCAGGATCCTGTTCTCAGGAGTTACACACATTTTTCCAAAGTTACGCCATCCCTGTTCTGACAAGATTCCGATCTAATGCTGCGAGAGTGAGTGGGCCTGCCCGGGACCGACCCTTCCTTCACGTGTTTTGCCAGGTCGGACACATGTGTTTGTGTTGCGGTAGGTCGGACGGAGCTTACCGACAAGGAACTGCGTCTGGCGGGTGAAGTCACCCATATCGTCGTCAGCTGCTTCCGGAGCCTCCGTAGCCAGAACGATGACTTCTCCTTCTTCGTCCACCCCTTGAATAAAGGAAATACACACAAATTAACAAAACAATTGTACAGCGGGGAGTTACATTTCAAGTTTTAGGAGGAGATCGAAACAAAAGCAGGCAACAGAAGGACAACATCAAAGCACACAAAAAAGGAGGTTAAACAATTCGCCGTTGCAGCCGCGCTCATGGAGCAAAAAAAATGCATCGTACTTCCTCCGCAAAAAAAAAAATGTCGTAAAAATGTGTGCCAGTCATTGTTCGAGGGGCTACAGCCCCTGCAAAAAATCTGAGCGCCTTGCCAGACAACGGGTGACCTGACGTCAGTATCAAATTGTCCCCAAACACGTGGGGACACTCTTCATATTTGAAGCCAAGTTCCATCTGGTGACAAAAATGTCCGCTATGATTTTGGTCTCCACTTTTGTCGGTGGTAGTGGTGGTGTTTGAGATGTGCTGCTCATCTTGGAGAAATCGCCGCGAAAAAAACAAGAAGGGTTCTCAAGAATCGAAACGGACAACGCCAGACGCACCTGTACCGCCACCGGAACCGGCGATTGAAACCCCGGGCGTATCAGCCGTGGCCACATTCTCCGAGTTGATCGAGTACTCCGCCGTCTGGTACAGAGAGGGCCGGTGAAACGTGCACGTGGTGGGTGAGACAAGTGACGACGCTCCAGTGCCGAGACGCAGTGGCCTCAACGTATGTTGGGGGAGGGGTATATACCGTACGTCACACAAGATACCACACGACCCCGGACCGATATTTTTCAAAGCTTGATTTTCTCCACGACGAAGAGGACGCACAAATTTAAACGACACGCTTTCGAAAAGCTCCCGATGAGACCGCTTTCAACGCCGCCGTTGTCGACGCCTCTGCTCTTCTTGCTAAGGAAAAACTCGAGCTTTGAAAATCGGTCCAAGGCGGTAGGATATCTAACGTCACCTACGGTACTCCAGACAGGCAGCACAGCCGATGAACAACGCCTGGAGAAGGAAAACGTACCGCTCCGAAAGGTGCGCGAGAGCCCGAAACGGATTTTCGTGACTCCGATCAAGATGGTCGACAATGTACCTCCGGCGCGTGCAGTCGAGACCAACCGACAAGGACTTGGAAGACCTACTAGGTAGCCCCAACAACACACACACCCTTTTAATTGGTCACAGCCGGTTAGCGCGGTCGATGCAAAATCAAAGAATCACGCACACACAAAAATGACACCGCAACAAGTTCTTCGGGGGAGTTGTCAGTAGCGGGGGGGAAATCACATCAAGTCCTTGCATCAGAGTTGCATCAGCAGCGGGGGGAAATCACACCCATCATTCCTATGAATCGTTTACCCTTGCATCTGAGGCCTCACGTGGCGTGGGGGGAGCCCACCGCCATGAAAACACCACCATGAATCTGTCGCGAATATCGCCGCCTTCGATCTACGGGAAGACATGAAAATACACGCGCTTGTGTCTGTACGCGTCTTTCATTTCTTGTTCGCCGATGGTGAATATCATTGCATAGCATGCGTGTTAATGCGTGCCGAGAAGCGGGGGGCGGGGGCGGGGGGACTCACGTAAGCTTCCACCTCCGACACCCCTGACTCCTCATTCTGGGCGGCCAGCACCGTGTTGAGAGCCCTGACTCCCTCGGACAACGTTGAGGTGATGTCGGGGAAGTCGTTGTCGCTGTCGCCGATTATCCGGAACTCCAGCCTCTTGAAAGTCTGCACGCGGTACACGGGCAGTCATCATCAAGCCCGTTTATCGATGTCGTCTTACCATCAACTCTGGGGCGTAAGTAAACATCCTTCGGTATACGCGGACGTACCTGCCGGCGCGACCAACTTAGTCCCACATTGTCATCCGGTCGAACGGACCACAGTCATTTAATGAGGCCCACGGAACATAAAAAAAACTAAAAACACCGGGTAAAACAAGCTCCCGACGAAAGGGAACAAAGAGAAGAGGCTGTCGCGACATCTGGCCATCATACACAATTGCACAGACACGTAGACAAAAAAAACTCACAAATACCTTCCGTGACAAAAGAAACAGGTGGAAAAACGATCCGTTGAATGAAATGCCATTTCTTCGCCTGTTCTTCGCCTGTAAGCGCACATCATAATTGCATGCATACACCACAAATGCAGACCAAACATTGCCAAGTCTACCGTTGTGATACGAACGAAAAAGGAAGCCACGCACCGCGGTTTGGAGCTTGCGATTCCGCGCTTGTCTCTGCCCCCCTTTCTCATCGCTCCACCCCCAACCCCTGCCCAGCCTAGCGCCTCCACCCTCCTCCTCCTCGTGCTCTCCCGCAGAGAATAACCTTCTTCGAGTCACCTCCGTAGAGGTCTCCGTCGATTTTCCGTTGACACGGACCAGCTCCACCTTCAAACAGCCAACCAAAACACACGGCGATGAAGCGAGCGGCAAGAAGGGGGGGGGGGGGGGG